ATGATGATGATGATGATGATGATGATCAATCTGATGATATTCACCCAGATATATAATAATGCGTTACTCCATTGGCACCTTCGATTGAAGAAACTCTAAAAATGAAATAATTTCCGAAAGGCTGAAGGTAAAAAATGTACTTTCCGTCATAGAAACTAATAAACAGGAAACATAAAAAGTATCATAAAAAGTAATTAACATAAAAAGTATCCCGAGTTACATAAAAAGTAACATAAAAAGTACCCCGAATATCCAATTTTATAAAATATCTTATTCACATAAAAAAAAACATAAAAATAAATCATTTAAGTCAAAAAAACAAAACATACTTGGTAGTGATGTTTTCGGATGGCGCATGCGCGTAGTGTACAGCTACCGTATGAATTTCCCTCGCAACCGGCCGCAACACGTTCACCGAAATGATGTCGAGGACTCGAAGCAGTGCAAGAATTTTGTGATTCACTGGAAAACGAAGGAGCAACAACCGAAATCGATGTACGATGCACCGCATCCCGGCCATCTTTTTCGTCTGCATGTGCTGGAGCAGTCGTCGCGAAGGATGCAAATGCAATGGATGGCATAGTGTTTGATTTGACGGAACTGGTACCATTGCGCAGTGATGAATTTGAGGAGTTTTGCGCAGCAGTTGCAAGGCACGAACGGAGTGAGCGCAAATGTCCTGGCTGTGAACATCTGAAATAAATCCTACATAAGTTCGGGCACATGGAACAATCTTTTATGAGTTATCCGAATATTCGTGACCAAAGGGAAGATTTTTGAACAAAAGCCTTTGCAACAAGACAGAAATAGGAAAAACGAAATGCACTGGACACACACACACACACACACACACACACACACACACACACAGACACACACACACACGACCACATACACACAATCTCGCGAAAATATGCGTTTTATACAGCTGTTGCACAGTAAGAAACACATAAAAACCGATCAAGAGCAGTTTTTTATCTGATATCCAATGACATCTGCCAGTTCCCATCTATGTGTGCATTTTCGCTGCCAAAGCACACTTCCCACGACAGCCCTAACTCAAAATTACAAACAAAAAAGGAAAAAAAGCATGTTCTAGGGTGAGTGAAAGAAGTCTTAACATTGTGTTTACAAAATGAGCAAAAAATTATCAAAACTGACCCGAAAGAAGCCATCAGCTGCTTCTGAT